ATATTTCTGTTTTTGATGGAAACTGTTTTTTAAAGTTCTGCTGATTTTGATTTGAATAAAACGGAGTGTCCTGTCGACCCAAAAGTGAGTTTTCGACAACAACTTTTTGCACTTAATCTCGTCTCTCAAATTCCAGAAGAAGCTCAAAATTTGTAGCATATATGTCCAAAGAAAGATACTCTTTATGACAGCTCGAAGTTGGCTCAAGCGATCAAGGGGTGGTTCGGACCTCGTAAATAAGCATCGCATGGGGGCTCTTGAGGAGCGAGTGCCTGCAGAACCCAACCTCTGACTTTTGAACGTCTTACATCAACTAATGGTGATGCTTGATAATGATAAAGAAGTAATCTGTGACCTCCAACGATCCTCAGTCTTTGACATGAATCTCCGTGAATAAGGTAATTCAGTATGCTCTCAATTTGACTCAGTAAGGCATTATGTTCGATGCCTGTCTGTGAGGTGGAAATGGAAATCAAATAACTCAAACCGATGTAAGCATTCCTAAGCGACATGGCTTGTTCGTGCGCGTTTTAGCTTTTTAACTGCAGATAAAAAGGGAGGTTGTCAAAAATGCATACTTTCGTCGATCTGACACGCCAGTTTGAGCACTTAAATTAATGGAAAGAGGAACTTCAAAAAAAGATAACTAAGAGGACTAGCGCATAGGGCGGGGAATTCTCTGCAAAACAGTATAAAATTCACAGGCAAGGCCTTTCATCTTTAGCGCGATATTTCAAATGAGAAAAAAAAGACGGCATTACTTACACAACAGTACACGGTACATAATGACCCAGTAAATTACGGGCGACAGTGAGGACAAGCTGGAGAAGAATAAATTCCTAACTCACCGTGGCCATTCAAGCTACGTGTCTCCATTATACATACGGGATGGACAACTTGATTGTTTAGATATGTGGATTTAATTACTATTTTCTGGGCTGTAAGGGGTATTTATTTGCATAGTCGCGGGGAAACACGAGACAACGCACGTCAATCGTCCCTAATCAGGAACACCATTTTTTATTTTTTGTAACTTCATTTCTTCTGGACGGTTTTTCCTACTTCCTATTCATAAGTCAACTGCATAACTATGCAAAAAAATACGTGGAGGGAAGGCCTTGATAAAACATTCGCAGCGTTCGAGGCGAAGGTGCGCCCTAGACCAAAGAAAATAGGTATTCGCGCGGTACTTTTTTCCTGTCAAGATATTTTGAAAGCTGTAGGTTTCGCAAACTTTGTTGACATCAGCGGTAGGGACAAGTAGAAAGCGGATAACAGACAGCAGCGCCTTTGAAATATGAAACAAAACGTCGGGTAAGTTTTGACGATAAAGCAAAGCATTTACTCATTTTTGAAAATCCAATCATGATTTCAAATTTTCTTCGCGATTTGCCGAAATGGAAGAATGTGATGTTAAAAGGCTGCTTGTGAAGCATGATCACACGTTGGAACGCGAAGCTAGATGGCGCTATCTTCCCTAACATACGGCGAGAAAAAAAACAATACAGAACCTCGAATACAAGGCCATCCAAGTTCTTCGGCTTTCGGGCCAGCACAAAAATATTTCACAAAACAGCCTTTCAACAGCGCGCCGTTCGTCGACTTAGAACCTCTAACAAAATTTGAAACAAACATTGGTGAAAACACTGTCGGATTCAGATAAAGAAATATCAAGAAAAGCAATAATATTCCTGACATTGTGTAGTGATGCAGTACTCTATGTCTCATGGGACGATGGCAGACAATAGTGTCTGCCAGCATATTGTCTAAGAATAAAGATGGACGAACAGCCAAGTTTGTCGTAAACGTGTCTCTGGAGGGGGGGGGGGTGGCTTGTCCCTCTGAAATGAATACAACAGCTGCTTGGCACGAATTACTTTGCGCCCGCGCCATAGGCGCCGGCGCCAAAATACCGTGAATCACCAAATTTCCCGAAAACTTGTCCCTACAGGTAGTTCGACCCACAAGAATACCATGCCCACTTAACGCACTGACGACGGTTTCCGTCAATGGTGGACGACAGCCAGTTTGTCTTGTTGGAACGGAGCCATCCCATGCTGTCCGACAGTTATTATATAACTCAAAACCTGCGCGATTATTTCATACTTTTTGTAAAATTAGTTTGAGAACAACATTTTCGTGAAAAGGGGATGTATTAAGTTGTCCGGAAAGTTCTCAGCGTTTTGTGCACCTATTCTTTGTACATTCACTGCTGATTAAGAACTCATTCTGCCTTGCTTCTCAGTAGCACATCCTGTAGAGAATTTCTTGCGCTATCTGACGGAATAATTGGCGTTTCACCATTGCTTGATATACCCCCTTTTTTCAAGATTTTTTCAAGCATGTGAAAGAGCACTTCGGACGATTTTTTTCTTCGACTATAAATTGGGGCAATCCGCAATCGAAACAGCTCAACTAATTAACCAGGTGTGGGGGGCCCAATAGTGCTAGGGTAAGCTCTGTGCGGCAATGGCTCAACAAATTTTGTTCTGGAGATTTCAGCCTTGAAGATGAACCTCATAGCGGTCGACCTAAAAGCAATATCTGACGAGGATTTTAGGGGGATTTTGGAGGCTGACCCATCCCCAAACAGTTCGAGAGATAGCAGAAGAGCTCAGGTCTTGGCAAATATACTGTTGCAGATGGTCTGGAACGCACTGGAAGGCGAAAAAACTCGACAACTGGGTGCCCCACAATCGGAGTGACCGGCAGGAATCGGCACGTTTCGAGGTTCTCTGCAATTGCTTTTGCGCAGCAGAAACGACCTGTTTTTGGGCCGAATTGTCACCTGTGATGAAAATGGGTCATGTATGATAACAGGAGACGTTCCAAACAGTGGTCGGGTTTTGACGAACCACCGAGGTAATTTGCAAAGCCGAACCCTCACGAAAAAAAGATTCTGGTTACGGCTTGGTGGTCATCGGCTGATGTGATCCACTATAACTTTTTATCACCAGGCCAAACAATCACAGCAGAACCCTACTGTGAAGAAATCGACGAATTGTACCGAAAATTTTGTCAGATGCAGCCAACACTTATCAAAAGAAAGGGTCCGATTCCTTTGCATGACAACGCCCGCCCATACGTTTCACAAATCACTATTCATAAATTGAACGAATAGGGGGTTGGAGTTCTACCTCAACCGCCATATTCTTCAAACCTTTCGCCAACCGACTATCGTCTTTTCTATAATAACATTTTCAGAGCTCCGCTGAAAAATACTTCATCAATTAGGACCAGGCAAAAAAAGACCGTAGATTTAGATCTCCTGTCACATTGGCAAAAGTGTGCTGATTCGAATGTTGCCTATTTCGATTAAATCCGATGAGTATTAAAAAAAGTTACGCTCGTTTGAAGTGAAACACGCAAAACGCTGAGAACTTTCCGGACAACCTAATAATATCCGTCTCCAGAAGGTCAAACTACCCCGGGTTCAGCCAAATCTGCTTCAGGGAAAAACTTGATAAATGCGATTGATTTCGGAAGACTGGAGCAATAAAAACTAAATTGTGTCGAAGATCGAGATTCGTATTCTCACCTTTTGCTTTTTGAAACACTTTGATCGCAGCCATTCATTTATTCGGAAATTACTGTTTCTACGAAGAAAAACGTGCCGTCCCACGGGGAAATTCATGAAAAAACGGCTCGTCACAACGTGTTGAGCAATATCCATTTCAAGAATAAATATAAGTTAGCAGGGCACATCATTGGTTGGGGAATTTAGTCGAGTCCGTACGACCTCCCCTCCCCCCCCCCCGGCCCTCTGTCCCTTCTCATCAAACCCAGCCTTGGGGAGATAGCACATATGAAATAGGAAAAGCCGCGAGACAACACGACCCCTCACCCCCCCCCCTTCTACCAATTCTCAGATTTTCCCCAACTTCCTGCCGTTTTTTCCAAAATTGTCCGAGAACTTCCCTACTTTCCCAAAAATTTTGCTGTGGGCGGGGGGAGGAGGGAGGGAGGGGGTATTATAGTGCGTGAAACAGGAAAATCACGACAGGTCAACCACCACTCCTAAAAGGTACGCTGCTGCAGGGACGCACCCACTCACATGGCACATGGCAGTAACCGTCCTCGGAAGTGAGAGTACATTCTGTCTTCAACTCCGTCGCGGGAAAAGATCGACGATATTTAGAATCTTGCCTCTAAGTTTCTGGAAAACCTAAATACGTACGAAGTGTGCAACTCGAGATAAAAAAAATCCTTTTTGTCTGTGGGCCTGCACCATCAGCGGATGCGCTTTTGACACGACTTGTCTCGCTGACAGTTTAAAAGTGCTCCCCACAAAGGTATGCCTGACAACATTGAGAGAGTTGTAATTGCATTGTTAGCTCATTTCACGCAGAGGTAACCTCATTACCCCCTCTCTACGAAAAAAAAACCAACTTGCTACTCCCAGAAATTTTTCCCATTACTGCTCTATGTACAAAATTGTTGCAGATTATACATACGTTGCACCTCTTGAATTCTTAAGAGCAGGCGGACGTCAGTACAACACTGAATCATTAACAAGATATTCGAATTCGGGAAGATACCTCTCTTGTTTAAAAATTAGCATGCTATGAAAGTTGAACTCTTATAAATTAGTCTACAAATGCAACGTATCCATTCACAGCTAGATGCCAGAAAGAGATATCATTCAAAATCTCGGTGTATGAATTTGCGCCAACACTCCCCTTTATTTGTGAGCAAACAAGTTTTGCCTTAAAAGAAACTTATTTCGATGATGTCTGTTAAGCAAATCATTCAAAGCAACCGAACCACCAAATTTGTGCCATATTCGAGTGCTTCAAATGGCGCGAAACCGACACTGATTTGTCCATCAAAGGAAGTTTCAAACACACCGAACCGAATTGATCGATTACTGGATATGATACTTTAGGGTTTAGTATACTGATTTTCCTATTCTCACATTTCTTTTTTTTCAAACTCACCATTTATCCATCTGGAAAAATTACGTCTATTTTAACGAGTAACACAACACGTTTATTGTTCAATTAACGATATTTAAGAACAGATTGCAATTCAATTACTTGATCAGGAGATCTGTACAAAACAAGATTAGACTAACACATTGAATTATGATATTACAGGCGATTGAACATGTTTTTACGAAGTTTGAGATTGGGGGAAAATAATTTAAGTGCTCGTCCGCTCGATGAAGTCGCCCGCAGTTTTTAGGTCATTATTTTTGAATTTTATTTTCTTTATTTTATCATGGGAGTCACGGATCCTAAATAGGTTTCATATTTATAACACTGTATTGACTTCGAAACTTTTATAAGATTTAAAGAGATAGAGTTTTTCTATAGCCGTTATTCTCGTTGCATATAGAAGATTCGAATAGAAAGTTATTTCTCAAATACGCGCTTCTTCTGGGGTATTTCATGAATCGAAAGTACTAATGATTTTCTAGAGTAATCGTCAATGATGCAACGAGACTAACAGTTAATTTACAAAGTTATTCTTGTCCTATTCCACAACAGCAACTCGCATTTCCAAAAAATAACTAACCTTTAGCGCGACGAATGACGGTAAACAAGCACATGTGAAGAACGTAGCAAACGAATAACAACGTGATACGGACCAGCACGTACGCTTGAAGCAACTGAGTGATGCCTTAGTACGGTCGGAATCTGAATCAAAGCAAATTTGTATTATCCGAAGATCGGCCAGAACATCGATGAGGAACACGTATGGCTTAGAACATCCGCGCTGCGGCGGTGCAACCTCGCAAGCAATGTCACTTGTGCGATATACGCACCAGGACCTATTGAGCTGACGTGGAACTGCACATTGTTGAGTTCATTTGCCAGAAGACACTTTGAGTTTTTGCACCTAATCACAAAGGAGATCTCCTAAGCCACACGGAATAACAGGTGTTTCATTGCTTAAGTTTTCTTGGCTCACCCTCTGGCTCTTCCGGGTCCTCCCGGGCCCCCACGTCCACGGAAACCACCGCGTGGGCCTCCACGGCCACCACCGCGGCCACGATCACCGAATCCTCCACGACCTCCGCCACCTCCACCTCCGCCGAAAGAATTCTGCTGCTTTTCACCACTCTCTGGAAAAAGCTTTTCTCATGGTTACACATAAACAACAAAAAGTCTGAAAACTTACCGCCGCCGTTCTTGGTATCACCGCCCTCGGTTGCTCCAGCATTGCTCGTTCCATTTTCTCCTTCCTTGAGATGACCAGGGGTAGTGTCTTCACGGATCTAAATGACCATGCATTTAGGAGACTCGTGTCCACTATATTCTGTGGCGATTATACTTAGAACCTCCAAAAATTAGGATACTCACTGGCTGTAGGATACGGTTCAGCTCCTCCAACACGCCAGCAACTCTCTGATAAGCTATATGGGCGGGAGCAATAGTTTCTACCTAAAATGGATTGAAAGCGCCGTTCATAGCCACTTAAACAGCCTCTTTCTAACCTTCACATGCAATGGACCGCCATAGTGTGCATACTGAGGATCTCCAGAATTGAGAAGTTCTTGTTCCTTATTTCTATCTTTTGTAGAACCACGTCCAAGTACGTAAATATGACATTTGTGTTGTTTCGCCATCGCTTGCAAAGACGCTCCTTTAGGTCCAAGAATTTTTCCAACAAAGTTGAACTGTAACAACGATATCAGTGACAGCAGAGCTGCAAATGAAAACATGATCCAAAATTTGTCCGTACTCTGGGGTGACGGAAATTCGGGATGAGCACTTTCTTCGTAACCTTAATTGGTTTCGGAATGTCGACCTCCAGCCATTCCGGATCGATGTTGTTTTCCAGTTTATCAGACTCTGCAAGGAGAAAAAAAATTCCAATTGTGCAATAAAAAACAGTCTCTGTATTTGAAGCCCTATTTTCAAAACTCCACAGAACAGTGACGAAACCACTGACCAGCAGCTAGAAGGCGACGCGCATTCTTGAACTGTTCTCCATACTCCCCGGAGGCATCAAACAGACCAAGTTCGTTGTGTATCTCTCGTATGACTACCTAAATCAATATTCAAGGTTCACATTTCCTCCCAATTAGCATTTCTGCTTACGGACCTGAACCTCAGCATCAAGCGGACTCTGTGCAACATCATAACCAGGTCCTCCAAAACCTGGTGGTCCTCCGAAGCCTCCTCCGAATCCACCACCGCCAAATCCACCCGGTGGTCCTGTAAAGTTGAATGCATAAGAATAACCCTGTGAATATCGCCAAACTTTCCAAGCAAGCATTCAGCAGTAATAAAACGTACCAGGAGGGTATCCTCCACCACCGTAGCCATCATATCCATCGTACTGAAATAATTATTAGTCAGTGTGGCCATCAATTCTTGGAGATATTAGGTTACTTAGATTACACTAAAGCCTTCAGGAACATTCCTCAAGGGGATATCGAAGCAACAACTGGTTGATGGATAAATCAAAGTGGTAAACAGCTCACGTCAGAAGGGTAAGGCTGCGAAGATACCTCTCGACTCGGGAGAATGGGTGGTAAAGAAACAAGCGAAAAGCAAAATACAGGAAACGATCCGGCGTTCCGAGAAAGAAAGAAGAGCGGGGTATACTCATAGATCGACGTTTTTTGAGAACAAAAAAAGTTGCCGTTGTAGAGAGAGCCTCAGAATATGAGAGTGGCACACTGCTTAATCAGAGGGATAAAGAGAAAACTCTTCTATGGTGATCACCATTTTGAGAAGTGGCATGCGCCAATGTACAAGTCACTGTGCTCATCCCCCAAAAGGGTTTGGTATCAATTCACGTCTATAACGGGTAGAAGGCACGGTTGTTCACAGCTTTTCCAGGCCGAGGTAGACTTCTAAATTAAGCGTTATGAGCTGGAAGGCTGGTGAAAGAATGTGGTTAGAGACGCCCCTGTTTTACGAAACCTGCTCTGATAGTTCAGTACTCTCGTATTCCCATATTCTCTCTATAACGACGATCTTCGTGAAACGCCTGACTGAGAACCAATTCTCCCAAAACGCAAGCACCGACACCAATCGACACATATACCTCCCTTCTCGCACACTCTCCAAGATGCCGATTCTCCCGCGTCCCACACTATGGAGGCAGCTCCGACGAGTTAATGACAATCCGCGCGATCAGCGGATCCGCGAAATTAATCCATGCATTTGGCATTCAGATCGGACTCACTCCTATAGACTTTCACTCGAAAGGGCGAGATGAAGCGGCCACAGACGCGTCTTGTGAACGTTGTTCGTTCCACTCTGCAAGACGACGACTTCCATGATGAATTACGTATATACATTCTGCTTGCAGCATTTCGTAAGACAATATGTTCGTCGGACCGACTTGGCTTGCTTTTTTTGAGCTTTACGTAAATGCTCTTCTGATAACACATCTACGATTGAAAAAACTTGGAACAAGCCACGAAATCCCGTTTCGAACAATGGAAACTGTCACAATAGCAATAAAGCGAAACGGTGAGCAAATAGCGGGAGCTCAGGAAAAAAAAACTTTTTAGCGCTCAGAATTTTTGTTTACTATTGGACTTGATTCGAGTCATCATTATCCGTGGAATCGACTTCAGAGGAGCTTCAGGGGTATCCAAGGATATTCGACTCCAAAGGAGCTGCTCACTCGGGCTAATGGTCTTCTTTCCTTTGACTCATGTTTCAATTCATCTCAAATGCGTGATAAGGTTGAGGTGAAGACTTTTCTCGGGCATTTTATTTCCGAATACCGGCCTTAGGTGCCGGAACCTAGACTTCATTTACTTTTGTGTTGCTTAGGATCGTTTTTACTAATTTGGAAATAGTTTCTCCAGGAATATCTCACCTACATCCCAATATTTCGGTACACAAACCAAAGGAAATTCCGATTTTTCTGGCTGTTCCTTTTTTCGCAGCTGTAAGTAACAGCGCACTTCTGGAGCGACCCCATCTGATACCCATGTAAACAACAGAATAGTGCTCTCTCACAATAAAATTGCCTCACTTAGGCACAGCTCACGGACTGCAATTCTACGGAATTAAATATGTATCGATTCCGCTCCACTGAAGGATTGGAGAGCGGCCGAAGCTGGCGTTTCGCCGGTCCTCCCTATTGAAACGCGTCTCATTACGCATATGCACCGATTCTCCCTGCCGATATGTATCAAAACTTTTAACAGGCGCGCCCATTGTAACGATCTGCAGGGTTACACGAAGTGAACGATTCCTATCTGTCGGGAGATTCTCCGTATCGATCAGGAGAACCAATCGATGCCAAATCGGGTCAGGTGGGCCTAGGGCGTCGTCAACTAAACCGACACCACCAAAGAGGTCGATCACTAGTCAAGCTCGCAGACGTCGAACAGTTATCTTACTGCACTACTCCTATCTTCCACGAGCAAAGCCACGAGCAATTCCACCGCGCAAAAAGACAACAACTTTTACAAGGCGAGTAGCTTGACTATAAATCTAGCGTGCTCTTCAGAATAGCCATCGGTGAGAGTGCGTTCATATTTCCCGATTCGGTCGCGAGCACTGACGCCTGCTGCAGACCACAGTGCAATTTACAGGTTAATAAAACTCACCCCTCCACCGCCTCCATATCCGCCGCCGCCACCACCGTAACCACCACCGCCGCCGCCACGGGCTCCTCCACCACCATAATAGTCGTCTCGACCTGCCATCTGTAAAATGCATAACTAATAAAAACCTGAAAAAGCGCACAAGAAACAAAAAACTACACGAGGCCGGAATCTGGGAATTACAACAAGGAAAAAACGGCACCATTGAACTATTCCCACCCTAGTCTTCAGAAATCAGGCCGATTTTTTAAGACTTTTTCTACGAGGGCAGGCCTGGCTGAAAATTTGCTCGCAGGGATAATTCGACCTCCTAAACACGAATATCACATCCGCTTAGCCCGAAACTAGCTGGCGCCGGCGCTAAAATACCTTAAATCACCAAAATTGCTGAAAAGTTGTCTCTAGAAGTAGTTCGACCTCCTGAACACGAATATTACATCCACTTGGGCCAAAACCGCCTAACGCCCGCGCGCCACAGGCGCCTGCGCCAAAACACCCTAGATCGCCAAAATTGATGAAAGTTTATATACGGGGGTTATTTGACACCCTGATCGCGAATAGGACATTTATTCTTGGCGCCGGCGCTAATGTAGGACACTATAATCATCTGAGCTCTGTTACGGCCGAGCCTGGTCTGAAGGGAATCGCTGCTTCCGCCGGGTTCAGCCTTAGCAGAAGGCTAAATGGCGCTGGTGTCGAGAAATTAACGCCATATTCATGATCAGGGCATCAAGCAGCCCTGTTAGACAAGTTTTTATCGGTTTTTTGGAAAAGGGTGGCGCCATGGCTCTAGCGTCAAAATAAATGCCATACCCGTGACCAGGGTGTCAATCAACCCCCGTATACAAGTTTTCATAGATTTTGGTAAATAAAAAGTGGTGGCGCCATGTTGGCGCCAGCGCTAAAAATGAATGTCATATTCGTGATCAAGACTTCTAATTACTCCTGTAGGCCGAGTTTCAGCGAAAAATTTTTTTGAGGAAGGAATAGTTAAATAGCGCAAAAAAATTCCCGCCCAATATTTCGAAGCCTCTCAACGAATGGGCACCAGTAACACGCTTGCTGGCCCTTTTCGCAAACTTCCTGAACTCCGACAGCATGGCCGCCTATAAATAAACACCCGAAAGCAGACACGGATGAAGGTCAGTGGCCAGTAGCTAACATTCGAGCGTTAGGTTGAGTCTACACCAAGTTATACCGTTCCTTTACAGTGTCAAGAATCCAACCTGTACTGTAAATGGTTACTGTAAATTTTTGGATCACTGAACGAATGAAGGCAGTTCTGTAAGTAACACCATTGAATAATAAGTGTGACTTGAAAAAGGGCCCCTTTGGATGTGTTTATGTGACCGCGAAGGAAATTGCGTCGCATCGGCTGCCATGCCCTAATCGAATCGCCGACAAAGCGCCCTTGTCAAATTAGGCATTGTTCACAGTCTGCGACATTGACGAAACGGTGGTTGGGAGAAAAGCAAAAAAATAGTCATCGATCGGAGAATTGCCAACCGCTTGCTTCGCCGAACCGCTGACGAAAAAACGCCAGGGCGGTCGAGCTAGCGTTCCGCGAGGGCGAAAAACGCGCGGTTCGGCGAAACGCCCGTCGATTCGTATCGAAATCCTTTCGTCCAACCGCCAGTCGATACGTATCGAAAGCTTTTCGCCGAACCGCCGCGGTTGGGCGAAAAACAATATATGTGTATCGATTTCGTGGCTAAAAACGCCACCGCGATGGAGCTAGCGTTTTGTCGGAGGCGAAAAACGTCGTGGTTTGGCGAAACGCCTGTCGATACGTATAAGAACCCTTTCGCCCAACCGCCAGTCGATACGTATCGAAAGCTTTTCACCGAACCGCCGCGTTTTAGCGAAACGCTGGACCGCAGACTGTGCACAATGCCTTAGGCCGCGTTCATAGCTTGCGTTCGTGAAGAAATGCAGAAATGCGGAAAATGCGGAAGTGCGGAATTTGCAGAAAAGCAATAGATACTTATCGACTTGAAGAGATGCAGAAATGCCGAAACTGCCGAGGTGCGGAAAGTGCAGAAATGACGAAAAACATTACATACCTATCGATTTGAAGAAATGCAGAAATGCCGAAAGTGAAGAAATGCGGAATCTGCAGAAGTGCCGAAGGTGAAGAAGTGCGGAATCTACAGAAATGCCGAAACTGCAGAAGTGAATCTGCAGAAATGCTGAAAGTGTGGAATGTGCAGAAAAGCAACCGATACGTATCGATTTTTGCACTTTCGGCATTTCTGCATTTCTTCAAATCGATAGGTATGTAATGTTTTCGTCATTTCTGCACTTTCCGCACTTCTTCACTTTCGGCATTTCTTCAAGTCGATAAGTATCTACTGCTTTTCTGCAAATTCCGCAATTCTGCATTTTCTGCATTTCTTCACGAACGCAAGCTATGAACGCGGCCTTAGCTAGCTAGGGATGATCGGTTGCACAGGATGTCGCGCCGGTTATCCTTACAGCACCTCATCACTAAGGATAAAGGATAAAGACTTCGCCGTTGATCATTTCCTTCGTAAGATGCGACACGCATGCTACTTCCATTCAAAATCGTAGTGGCTTAATGAATGCATGTGGTTTATACAATGCGGGGGCCAGCCGATGTACAAGTCAGTGTACTTATCCTCCTAGGCGAATCTGGTACCAATTAACTGTCCCCGGGGGGTAGAAGGCTGGTTGGCCTGGTCGGGAGTCGACCCGGGATTCGAACCCAGGACAGCGCGATTGGTAAGCGCGCCACTTCTCACCACACCACCTGCCCACCACAGTACGAAACATGAAGTGGTGGACAAGGACCATCTCAATGATGATGTAGTTTGGTTTGTGGAGCGCTACTGCGCACTATCACTATCGAGTGCCCCGACACAGCATTCCCTAGCTGGCTGCTTAGAGAGATAGACAGATAGATAGATA